GCCGCACATACATTATTTATAGTGGACCGGAAAATAGTCACATTCAAGCCGGAGAAACCCCGGAACATAATCGCGCTGAAGCCACTCTCGTGACGCAAATTCACTCACACCGCGCACAATGCGCACGCGCGTGTAAAGCGCAAGTGTAGACTACTGACAATTTTGCTCCCATGCACGAAATTACATTATCGCGAAATTATATCGTCGAAAATCATTTTTTCCCCTCTTCTCCCCCCTCCCCCTCCACTCTGCCATGCAACTGCAACGTAGTTTCAAGTTTATACGGTACACGAAGTAGCCCGAGAATTTAATAAATGTACGATTCCGCGATTTGCCGTTACTGAAAATCCGTGTATCTGCATAATGTAATGCCCGCTATATTTATGCAAACACGACGAGAGAGAGAGAGAGAGAGAGAGAGAGAACGGCTAGATGAGATAATAAAAATAAATAGCAGGTGGTCCGAAAGGGCGAACAGCCCCAAAACGGATCTCGCTTATAAATAAATGTCGGAGGGTAATGCAATATTCGATATAACATAACAAGTATAATATATAGCCCATTCATTTCTCGACATAAATCTTATCGATGATATCAATTATTCTATTGACAACACGTTCGCGCGCGCGCGCATGCGCGTGTGTGCGTGTGTGTGTGTGTGTGTGTGTACGTGTCATTAAAACGATAAATCTCACAAATAGACGTATCAAATACTCACGGTAGATATTATCGCGCGTACTCACTGCGTATACTCGCGCATATGGCGCGCGTCAGGCCGATTTTTCCCGCGCGTCAGCCGTTAAATCACGCGTGCTCAGAATGAAGCCGTTTAATCGGCGGCGGGACGCGCGAGGGCGCGCGCCGCGAAATCGCCTAATTTTATATTATAATTGCAAACCGAGCTGACGCTAATACCCGAGCGGACCGTGACGTACGGTCGTTTGAAATAATTAGGCCCCAATTACGTCGCATCGTATTCTCTAATTGAGCCCGGCGCGCGCACGTGTCGCGCGACCGCGCGCGCGCGCGCGCGCGCGAAAGCGCGAAAGCGCACGTAGGTACACACGCGCGATACTCCCCGGCTTGAAAGTGGCGTCGGCGGTTAGCGCGTTAAGTGGAACTGCAATGAAATGTAAAATATGCTTGTTAACACGATAGCTCCCCTCCGGGGACTTAAAAACGACGGGCGGGGATGGAGAGGTGGTGCGCCGCGCGCGCGAGAGAGGGAAAAAGAGAAACGAGAGGTAGTTTGTAGCCGTTGCGGCGAAGAAAGGTGGCAAAAGGGAGAGAAGGGAAGGGAAGTGAAGTGGGTCTCGCGGAAAAGGGCGGCGGCGGCGGCGGAAAGGTAGGGTGAGAGATACACACAGGAGAGAGACTTTTATTAGAGGCTCGTGTATTCTTTTTCTCTCGCCCTCCTTCTCTCTCTCTCTCTCTCTCTCTCTCTCTCTCTCTCTCTCTCTCTCTCTCTCCCCCTCTCTTTTGCTCTCTTATATCTACATACGTAGTTCGTGGCTACATGGCGGCTCTAGTGTGTCTCTCTCTCTCTCTCTCTCTCTCTCTCTCTGGCCCCTTTTTGTCTTCCTGACCGAAACATTTACCACGCGGAATTCGAGGTCTCCACCGCGCGTCTTGTGCGACCAGAGAGCGTCGTTTATGCATGCACGCGCGAGCGTGCATATACATGCGCATATGTACGAATCGGTATGTAAAGTGCTGCCTCGTTTTGACAGGGGCCGGACACGCGGCCCCGTGACCACTTTGTAATCAGATGCGAAAAGTTCCACGAGCTGAATACATTTGGAAGGTTGATTAATCCGCGCCGAGTGCACGTAACTCGACGAATTAAACACATGAATTAAAGAATGGCCAATCCCGCGGAGGTCGATAACGTGCTCCGCTGCACACGCCGCACCGCGCGTTGCCACCTGAAAGTTTTAAGCGCGACACCGAAAACGAATCCGCCGTGATCGAAGATCAGCCCCGCGCACCCTCCCGCACCCTCCCTGTTCTCCCAGTTCACGTTCTCGTACGTGTCTACGCATGCGAGTGCGTGTACGCGCGGATACGCGAAAGAGTGCGACTCGTAATGTTCGTCGTGGTGGTGCTAACTGCCGCGCGCCGTGTGAAATATGACCAGCCGTATCTCTCTCGTACACCAGGTTCGTTTTACATGCAATTACGATTTGTATCGGAGGCGTAATTTTCCTTCGGGGCGAAAGATCAGCACGCCGGTTCTCTCTGCCTTTCTAGCTCTCTCTCTCTTCCTCTCTCTCTCTCTCTCTCTCTCTCTCTCTCTCCCTTCGGAAGGAGCGCCTACCTCGACAGTCTGCGCACGACGTGCCCGCAGGAGTTACAGAACGAAATGAAGGTCCTCGACAAATTCGATTCCTGGCCGTAAAAGCTCTCTCTCTCTCTCTCTCTCTCTCTCTCTCTCTCTCGCTCCCTTCGCTTCCTTCTATTTTCTCCGTCCGGCGCTCCCCATTCGTTTCCCGATCCTGACCCTTGACATCTCCCACACGTCTGCCATCTTTCCCCATACTCGTACGCACGTAATTCGCAGCCGTGAACCGTGTCGCCTGCATCCTATTTTGCTCTAATTGGCGGCTGCCTTTGTCCCCGGCAACGTCGATACGCCAAGTCGGAAGAACGACGCGAATCGATGGATGGATGCTTCCGCTCGGCGGAGCTTGTATCCTGTTAGGGATTGCGCGACTATCGAAGTATCGATCCGACGGCAGAGACGCGTTAAAAGCGGTTCGCGAAAATCCGCGCACGGCCGTCGGCACTTTGAGGGTGTCGTGTGTTTTCGGACCGGCCCCGCGCGGTCTTATGTTTATTTTTCCACACGAGTGACGACCGCTCTTTTGGGAGTTTTTTTTTTTTTTCCTTTTTTTCGCAGAATTGCGCGGCCGCGTATGACGCAAGTTTTGCGCACTACGATCTGTTGTGTGCCGCGATCAGTAGCAGGTTTCGAGGTGGTGTTGTTGTTGTTGTGTACTTTTTGAAACGTGCGATACGATAAAAACGAGAGGACCGGTATCGCAATGTTTTATCATGCTATCTAGTGAAACATGTGGCGCGGGTGTGCATCGGTACGTGAAACGCAGTTTTGAAAAAGCTTATCTGACCTCTGATCTCCAACCTTCCCCCTCTTCCTTCCTTCGCTCTCTCGTAATCGTATTCCCGCGAATTCGAGGCGAATTCGAGGCGACAATAATTCCGCGGCATCGACAATTTTTCAACGATGGGAAACAGCGATGGGAGACAACATTTCCCCCTTGCCGCATTCCCGCGACCCCTCGCTTCCTCTTTCTGGCCGCGGAGTTACCTAATGGAAGGGAAAATAGTATCGACCGGCTTAGAACGTCCGCGCGCGCGCGCGCGCGCGCGAGTGCGAGCGGAGCGATCGATTGTTTACGCAAACGATCTGAAAGGGGATCAGGCAGACGCCTAACCAGACTTCCGTTCCGTATTATCTTTAACGAGTTACCGGAAAGTTTCTGTAAGAGAACCCCTGGGAACTCTGGTAGCGGAGACAGGAGGGAGAGAAAGAAGGCGACTCGAAAGCGGAGGTGCGCACCCAGGACGAAAGGAACGAAGGAGCAAGAGGAGGAGGAGGAGGAGGAGGGGCGAGGAGCTTCCTGCAAAGAATATAAACAATGCGTTTTAATTAGAGCCCCTCGCCCCGATGAATGCACAATTGTTGCCCCCGGGGGGCTTTACACTCCGACCCCGACGCAGCCTCCGCGTTTCCATCTCTGCTTCCGGTAGGTAACGCTGCGTGCCGTGTATATCAGATGCCCCTGACGTGGATAAAACTAATTTCTCTCTTCGCGGAGGGGGAACGGTTCATTTTTGCTGCATACTAATAGCGCCGCTGCGTATTACGGCGGTATCCAATTTCTATTCAGCGAACGTTTGAGGAGAGCGACGTAAATTGAAGTCTCGTGTAGAAATGATTTTCTATAATGCGCGCGACAAATAGACGGTTAATAACAATCATCCAGTGCGAACCGCCGAAAATGCGGGCGACACGCCTCTTCGTTGAATTATTTATTCCTGGAGGCACGGATGAAAGGGCGGGCGGGGGAGGGTGCGCGAAAAGTGCCGAAGGGCGAGAATAAATCGCAAATCATTTTACAAAGCGTATTGTACGCACTTTTTCTTGACGCACACGCAGGGAGTTGATGTGTCGGAATGTTTTTTGTCGGAAAGAATATTACGCGAATCCCGTCACTTTCGCGATGAGAAGTGACTCATCCTCTCCTCTCTCTCTCTCTCTCTTTGTTACACAAGGAATAACGATTCAGAGTCCGCTAAAATCGGTGACCTCTTGCCGTCAATTTTGCCGAGAGCCAGCGGCGTTTCTCACATCAAAAGGTACAGGAGCGCGCTACACGTCGAGATTCCGCAACAATCGCCGGTAAACGTGCCTTTTACTTGAACACGTGACAATAATTCCATCCGGGGAATCGCGCGCGGTCTGCGATTCGCGTCAGCACATGTATGCGTGCGTGAGCCCGAAGGTCCTGGGGCGGTAGCGTGCGACACACGTGACCGGCTTACATAACGCGGAGCCTATTGTAATGCGCAATGACAACGTCGTGTGTTAGCCCGGGTGGTCTGATAGTGACGGGGTGTTGTTATGCGGCTGCCCCTTCTTGTGGAGGACCTCACTGGAATTCCGCGATAAGGCAATTTATCCCGATCAAAGTGGGGAGGGTCAAAGTGGGGAGGGGCGGGGGGGGGAGGACGATCTGAATCTTTGGCATCGTTTGTGATCCCGATGCCATCCGCGATGTAACGGATCCGCGGAGAGAATCTCCGCGATGCGAAATGTAGCTCGATTGCTCCTTGCGCGACACCATGCGAACGCTTAAAGTTCATTCATCGCGTCATCCGCGAAGTTTGGTGAAAACTTTTCTAAAAGAGTTGACAAGAAATTGATAAATAGTAAATAAATCCACATATTCACTGGACGCGTAAATATACTGTTGCAGATGGAAGGCGCGCTATTCGCCTGGCGAAGCGGAAGGAACGAAACCGAGAAGGAAACAACTGAAATCAGGTAAATGTAACGAAATTTCCTCTCTCTCTCTCTCTCTCTTTCTCTCCCCCCTCTCTGTTTCTCTCCCGCTAGCTTTCAGAGGGATTATGTCGGTCCATATTTCACTCTCGCATGCGCGATGTCGTGAATGAAACACACGGGCACGAACAGGCGTGCCGATAGCGTAATTATTTTTAATCTGCCGTCCGCGCTTATCGCACTTCCGCCGGTAATATCCGGTGTTATACGTGTACGTAATGCCGAGTTATTATTCTCGCGGGGGAGGGACGACGATGAGGCATGAAAACTTAACTGGCCCATAAAGGGCCGCGCGAGTCGGAGAGTCGCTTTACGAGCTTTCTCTATCTGCTGCGAACCGTCGCGCTTCGCAAACTAGTTTTCATGAAGCAGCGAACGAACGAACGGACGGACGAACGAACGAACGAACGAACGAACGAACGAACGAACGGATGAGCGAACGGCTCGCGAGCCACTGGCCACGAACAAACGGTATTCTCCTTCGACGGTACTACGGTTGGAGATAAACCCCAAGAATGCGCACGGTCGAAAAGCTCGTCTCGCAACAAGGAACTCCCGGATGTCGGCCGCCGATATCGAGAATCAGCCGGCGCTTTGGCATCGAAAGGCCGCGCGCATGGCCCTTGCGAGACACATGCATTATAATGATTACAGCTGCGGCGTATCGTCGACAGAAAGTTTACGGCGTCGACGCGGAGCGATCCCGATGGAAAGCCGATATTCCGTGTACTGTGTTACTCGCACGTTATTGTTTGCCGCTAGTCCGGTTGTTCGAAAATGTCGTAGGCGAGCAACGTTCGCGCAGACTACGTGCGAAGGAGAGATAAGTCTCTCGCCTCCTTGACGATTTTGCCGCGATAATAGATTACGTGACTCGCGTTAGCTCGCTGCAATGCCATCTCCCGAGGCTGAATGTGGGGACGCGACGACGCTCGACGAAAAATGAGCTATTGCTCAATTAAAAATTGCCACGTCCTTCCCGATTTGTTCCCGCGCATTTCCTGCCCGCGTGCCTTTTAATCAGGCAGCTGTTAATTAATTCTGCTTCTTTCAGCGTACTGAAGACTACACACACGTGCGCCTTCGCGCTCTGAACGACGCGGGATACCGCGACGAATCGAACCTTTCGATCGATTTGCCTCACAAAACAAAAGAAATAACGCGCTGTCTTTCGTTCGCGTTAGTTTATCCTCGTCGAACCTCTTACCTCTCTCTCGCGCGCGCGCGCGCGAAAACAGAAATTGAATTGTTACCGCGTTATTGTGCATATGGCCCCGGCGTTATACGTCCCTCGGAATTGGCTCAAACAAACGGTTAACGATCGGTCTACGATCCAGGCTACGAGTCAAGCGCACCTACGCGAATGCAGGCGTCGTTCCATCAACACGAAAGATAATCGCTTTCGGCGGACGACTCCCCCCCGGCGCGCCATCGATTACCGATATTTTGCGCGTTCCGTCGAAGAAAATAATTAACTCTATAAACCGTCGCGGGATAAGACCGTCGAACATCACGAGATTGATCTCAAAGGACGTTTAGCAAAAGTACCTCGTTATAAAAGCCGCCGTCCGCCAAGGCGGTGGTAATTAATTCCGAAGTTCGATCTCATTACGAAGACTCGCATCGCGAGTTCCCGTCGCTTTGATTCCTCCTCAATCTCGCTTGTACAAGCTTGCGCCGCGAAAAGGAAGAAAAGTAGGGCGAAAGATCCGCCGGTCGTGTCAAATGCGAACCCATTTCCTTTCACGTTCATCGACGATCCGCGGAGTTGGGCGTGTTGGGCGTATTTGGCGATTAAAATATTCGCCGTCGCGAGACGCGCGTCGAGTGGAAATTTCAATTCGACGGAGGCCCTGGGCGAACAACAGAGGTAGACAAATCGGCTATCAAGGGTGGCAGGAAGGAGAGGGGTGGTTTCCTCTCTCCGCGGTGTCGACGACGTCGACGGCTGCGGATGCGAGCGCCGCCGCCTCACGGCTGCAGAAATTAATATAAATCTCATTTCCTCGCGCTACGGATACACCGTACGGTATTGTCTTACGCGCTTCACCCTGTCAGCTTTCCTCCTTAACCCCGTGTAACTCGAGTAACTCCGCGTTCGCTCTCCATCATTTCGTGCGATCGGAGCGGAGGCAGCTGCGGTGGAGCGCATCGCGCTCTCGCGCGGCCGCGCGAGGTCGCGCGCGTCGTATCGAGATATCGAGACGAGATATCAGCGATTTTATATTACGCCAATTTATTTTCCCGATATTTCGAGATTACCATAAAGCGGAAAGAAGCAGTCTCCTAATTAAGCCGGACAGAAACACTTTTTAATATCGCGCGGCGCTCCTCCGCGCGGCGAAATAATCCGGATTTGTAAAAAAGGAAGAGAAAAACCAGGAGGCGCGCGCGCGCGCGCGCACAAAACCAAAGGCGAAAGGCGCGAGAGGAGACTCTGCGCGAGCGAATTAAAATCTCGCGAGCGCAACGAGCCCCGATTAATTGCCCGTCGATTGCGCAGAATCGTTATGCCGTGCCATACGGGACGGGCGATAAGAGGAGAATGCAGATAAGGGCGCGGTGGCGCGCGACGCGGTAAATAAACGTACGATTAATTAACAGCGCGCGCCGCGGATCGTGCCGCGCCGCGCCGCGTCGATGCTCGCGGTAAATCAGCGACGACGAGAATATAATAATTGAGAATCGACGCGCGTGCATACACGCACGTACACGCGCGCAACCTAATTGATATATCGTCAAGTTTTTGTCGACGTTGTGTGATTTATTGCGAGGGAGAGGCGCGTCGCGAGCTCGCGCGCGCGCGCGCGCGCGCGCGTTCAACGGTCGTTTGCCGCTGAAATCCGCGCGGAATGAATCCGTTTTCAGCGTTTCCTCGGTCCTGGAGGCCGTGCGCGCGCCTCTATGAATTAACTTGACGGGACAAGCGCTTTTAATTAATTCGACGGTGTTGCTAGTTATGCAAAAAAAGTGATTAACGCCGACGGGCGACGCGCGGCGGCGCATTGAGCGGGCTGCACGATCAAACGCCGCCGTGTGCTTCGCGCTGTTATTCAGCTGACTAATTAAAAGAAAGAAAGAGACAAAAAAAAAACGGAAGAAACCGGCGATCGCCGCCGCGGTCACGTTAAAACGTTACGCTCTCTCAACTCTTTCCCGCTACGTGTCTCATTATCGGCGCGTTCACGACTCGTCCTCTTCGCTCGAACGAGAAAAAACTACACGGTATGTGATACGTGTACGTTCCAGTACCCGCTAATTATCGCGCGCGCGAAAGATTTATTCACGACGGAGTTGCGATCGCGGAAATACGCAGTAATGACGGCGGAGGAGCGTTTGCGAGCAAAACACTGCAAGGCGCATCGCGAGCAAATGCACGACGGCGCAAATATATAGATCTTAACCACGCGGTACAGGGCAAGGGGAAGGGAGGGGGGTGGTGTGGAAGGGGAGCGGAGGTCGGTTGGCGCGAGGCTTGCGTTTTCCACAACCCCCAGGTGCATCGACGGGCTCCTGCGGCAACGCCGGCAGAAGCAGATGAGGCCGCGAGGAGTCAGCGGGGGAACAGCAGGCGGTAGGGGGCGAAGGGGAGGTGGTAATATAACGCGAGGAATAGAACTCGGTAGACTCGGTTAATTAACGAAACCCACATGGGACAGGCCCGCGCTCTGTCCAGGCGCTGCCACATTCTCTCTCCTCCTCTTCCTCCTACCGCCTCCGTCGCTGCTGCTTCTCCTCCGACTCCCCCGTGTCTCCGGCATCCTCGCCCCATCTACGTCCTACCCTCTCGCCCCATCTCTTCCATCGGTGTCATCCATCCCTTCTCTTCGTGTGCCACCTCGCGCGGCTCCCTCCTGCCATCTCTTCGCAAACCCCTTCGAGCGGCTGCTACGGATGCGCGCCTGCACAGGGCTGTCCGTAAATAACTGTACACCCTCATCCGACTTTGCCTGTCGCCGAACGTACATGTAAAAGCACGGCGGCAGAGGACGATAGCTGGTGGTGAATAAGGTCTCGGTTCTGCGTGACGGAAAAGAGGCCTGGTTCTTTCCGCGCGGGGAGAAGAAAGCGCTTAATTAAAGAATTTCTCGTTTACTCTCCCCGGTCGTATTACCGAAACCGTCGTCGCGACCCTCGGGGCTCCTGTTCTCGCGCGCCAGTGTTATCCAGATATGGAATGCGAATAATTCGCGCCGGACAGAAGTACCGCACGGCGGCCGGGAATTTCTGACGAACGCGCTTGGGCACGCGATATAACGTGCGTGGTATGACGGACCTGCCGTCCGTCCCGCCGCGCCCCGCCAGGGGCCGGCCGATCGAGATGCGGCTAAGCGAAAACGGATAGGCGAATCGAGCGGCTTGAGAGTGGAGGAGAGAGGCCAGAGAGAAGAGGGAGAAGAGAGCGGACAAGAGCGACGTGTATGTACACTCGTCTGTACTCTCGGCGGAATTTTATTTTGCGCCAGCAAAATTATCTTATCGTCGATATTCCCATCTGACGTACGCTCCGTTACGCGTTACTCTCTCTTTTTTTTTTTTATTTAACGTTCACCGCATCTCATATTAAGTCGCGTTAAGCCGCTTCGCGGGCCACCGTTCGGTCGGCTTGATACTTCAGAGAAATTCTAGTGAAATATTCTTGCAACTGTTACGTGAGACATGTGTTATTTAAGAAGTAAAACTGTCCACTTGGACGCGCGCGCGCGACGAGTCATATAAAATTAATGTTTAATATTACAGACTATTTATATATAGCGTAGCCAACTTTTCTAATGCGCGCCACCCGTCGAACGCACTCATCGCACACTTCTGTGTATGACTTAACGAATCGCGACGAACAAACTATCCGGTTCCGCCGCTCCCTACTCTCACCCCCCCCCCTCTCGCCCTCGGATACAATCAGTGACTACTTCGCGTTTACTTTCGCGCTCCTCTTCGATCGGGATTTAATTCCCCGCAGGTCGAATTAAACGGAACGTCAG